TTTCCAATGACAGAAATTTAGGATCTATAATATTAGGCTAGAGACGCACCTTAATTCTGTTATCATTCGAATAAGCCTTTTCTGTTTGAGCTGCATTAGGCAAACTTCCAGCAATCAAACAGAGCATTTATTCAATTATTGATTAATGCTCAAAGAAGAAAGCAGGAAACGAAGCAATACCGGATTTACGGTTTCTTGGAATCAAAATAAAAACTCCCAATAAGACCCCAAAAATCAAAGCCACCACAGCTATAACCATATCTCAGGTTCAGCCCCTTCGACTGCTCAAAAAAAGAAAAGAAAAGAAAAGACCAACATTCAATTACAATGCCGTGTTCCATTCATAAATAACAAATTGAACTCTAATATAAAAGTAAATAATAAGAAAAAAGACGCATTCATATGCCATTCTCAATGCAAAGACTAGTTTTTTCGTTCTCTCATCTTTAGCATAAAAGTTTCAAATGGGAATTTGATTTTTTAGCATTTTGAAAGTGATTTAAACCATTTAAAGAATTTCCCTTTTTCTCTTGTACTCCTTGAAAAACCAAATAGCTGATAGAAAGAATCGGAAAGTGTAGAGATGCGATACGCCAAATTAAACAGTTCATCGCATTAAGCTTAAAAAGAATAGTTGTAGTTTTGCTCGGTGAGACGACAAGACAACAGGTGAAGTTAAAGAGAGACAGAGAACCTGTAGTAGTAGTGGTAGTGGTGGTGGTAGCAGCAGCAGGTGTTTGTTAAGGAAGCAGGGTGGGCTTGCTTGGTTATTTCCGATCTCGCCGATGAGTTCCTGTCCCAGAATCTTTACTGTTGTTGAGTCATCATGCGAGCAGCGAGTAATGTCATTGATAAGGTACTTGGGTCGGGTTATCCTGAGGTTATGGGTCTGGCCCATGATTAGATTTTTCTTCCTTAGGTCATGCATCTTTTTCTCTACTTTTTTAACTCTCCATAGACATTTTTGTTGGTGTTCATCAAGCCAAGTTTAAATTGGACTTTACCAGTCAATTATGTCATTAAAACCTGCTTGAGTCAATCAGAGTAATATCTTAACTGGTTGAATTATAACTCAGCTCGAGTTACACTTTAAATTTATAGATTCAATGATAAACATCATTAAACCCAAGATAAGAAAGAACTTTATCTTCTTCTCTGAACTTAATGCTGATATTTTCTTTCACAAATTTGTAAGGTCTTCATTTCCTATCTAAACTGATTTAGAGATCAAAAAGTTTGAAAAAACTATTAGACTGGAACCTAGGAGATGTTTTAATTTTTTTGTTTACCCTTGAATTTAATTTTTCTTTAACTGCATTGGGATTTTTTATATTTCATTTATCATTTTATTACTATTTATTTCATTTTAAATATTTTATAGTTTTTTTTTTAATTTCATCCCTTTTTAATTATTTTTAATATGTTAGATTTAATTTTTTTTATTGCTATTTAATTTTTGTTCTTTTTATTACTATTTATTTTATTATTTATATTATTTTTTTTTTAATTATATCCCTTAACATTTGATTTCATTTAATTTTTATATTAGATTTTATTCTTATTCTTTTATTTTTTATTTGTTTTATTTTATATTTTTTTATTGAAACTTTCTTTTTTAATTTCCTCCCTCAATATTTTATTTATCTAGAATTTGACTTCATGATTTTTTTTACTTGTCTTTTATAAGATAATCCTGATCTGAAGACCAAAGTAATGTATTTTAAAAGTTAACTCGAGTTTATTTAATTTTTTTTTTTAAGTTAACAATTAATTTTTTCTCAATTTTTTTCTTTGATATTAGGTTTATTAAAGGTTAGATTTTGTTTTTTTTCTTATTTTTTTTATATTGGAATATCTTGATTTTATGTACTAGATTACAATTTTGAATGAATTAACTTAAATTGATTTGTGTTAATTTAGTTTTGTTTTGTATATTTATTATTATTGTTGTTTTTTCTTATCATGTTATTAAGTAATTAAATTTATTAAATTTAATTAAGCCCAACTTTCAAAGATTTCTTTTATTTTTTAAAAAATATTATCATTATTGATTTTTGTTTAATCTTAAAAAAAGTTTTGCAAATTTAACATGGATCACCGATATAGTGTACATCTATAATAGATAAGTTCAATATGAGTGCATTTGCTTTAATTGTAAGCTCTTTTTTTTTTTAATTTGATCATATTAATAGTAATATGTTCTAAAAAAATCTCTCGTCAATCTTTTCATTTTATTTATATTTTTTTTATTTTTTTATTTATTAAAATAAAAAAATAACACAAAATAGATAAAAAAAGGTTAAACTAAAAACAAATTTTAAAATATATAAATTAAATATATAAATTCTGAAATCGCAAAGGTCAATTAATTATTTTATCTAAAGAAAAGAAACTAAAATATAATTAATTTAAATAAAAAATAATGAATTTTTTTTTTTGTTTTGGAATGAGAATTAAGATTACTCTAAAGATGATATATCTTCCCTTAGCCTTTATAAAGGTATTTGGATATATAGTAATAATTATTTTTTAAAATATATTTTTAAAAAATATGTTAAAATAT